CTCTGGCTCCACAGACCACTCGGCAGCATGAGCCATTGAAGTGGTGGTGTGCAGGGTGAAAGCAGAACAAAATGCAGAAACAGCAAGCTCTAGGCATAAAAAAATCAATTCGACAGACTTTAAAAACAATTAAGCAATTCCATCAGATATAAAACTGATCTTTCATAAATGACCAAGACACACCTCAGGGAAAGGCTTCTTAGCCAAAAATGTCTTCGGGCACTTTAAACATCTTTGCACCAGGCACCTCTTTGATTTTGGCTGCTAATTTATTCCAGAAAGCTGGGGCTGCAACGCTAACAGCCTGGTTTCTAGCACAACCATCTTCATTAAAACAAGAGATAAAAATCAACAAAACTTTAAAAACAGAACTACAACACTAAATTATATGTGTGGACTGGCTTGGCGAAACAAAAGTTTTCAGCAAGCACCTAAAACAATGCAATTAGGGTGCCTTTTGGCCTCCCCCCCCCCTTCCAGGCTGAGTGGACATAGAATGTACCGAGAAAATCTGCAGGACTGTTTTGCCTGATGCTGACCCTATACACAGATCAGAAGAAAACAGTCTATTATGCTCAAGAGCTACAAAATCCCAGCTTTCCCCCTATTCAGTGAGTGAGTGCCAGACCGTGGGAAATGTTGTTGTTGTTTAGTTGTTTAGTCGTGTCTGACTCTTTGTGACCCCCTGGACCAGAGCACGTCAGGCACTTCTGTCTTCCACTGCCTCCCGCAGTTTGGTCAAACTCATGTTTGTAGCTTCAAAGACACTATCCAACCACCTCGTCCTCTGTCGTCCCCTTCTCCTTGTGCCCTCCATCTTTCCCAACATCAGGGACTTTTCCAGGGAGTCTTTTCTTCTCATGAAAGCCTCAGCTTCACGATCTCCTTCCAGTGAGCACTCAGGGCTGATTTTCTTAAGAATGCATAGGTTTGATCTTCTTGCAGTCATGGGAGTCTCAAGAGTCTCCTCCAGCACCATGATTCAAAAGCATCAATTCTTTGGCGATCAGCCTTCTTGATGGTCCAGCTCTCACTTCCATACATCACTACTGGGGGAAAACATAGCTTTTACTATACGGACCTTTGTTGGCAAGGTGATGTCTTTTGCATAGTCAATGAAGCAGAAGTAGATGTTTATCTGGAACTCTCTAGCTTTCTCCATAATCCAGTGCATGTTTGCAATTTGGTCTCTGGTTCCTCTGCCTCTTCTAAATCCAGCTTGCACTTCTGGGAGTTCTCGGTCCACATACTGCTTGAGCCTACCTTGTAGAATTTTAAGCATAACCTTGCTAGCGTGTGAAATGAGTGCAGTTGTAGCGGTAGTTGGAGCATTCTTTGGCACTGCCCTTCTTTGGGATTGGGATGTAGACTGATCTTCTCCAATCCCCTGGCCACTGCTGAGTTTTCCAAACTTGCTGGCATATTGAGTGTAGCACCTTAACAGCATCATCTTTTAAAATTTTAAATAGTTCAGCTGGAATACCATCACTTCCACTGGCCTTGTTATTTGCAGTGCTTTCTAAGGCCCATTTGACTTCACTCTCCAGGATGTCTGGCTCAAGGTCAGCAACCACACTACCTGGGGTGTACGAGACATCCATATCTTTCTGGTATAATTCCTCTGTGTATTCTGCCACCTCTTCCTGATGTCTTCTGCTTCTGTTAGGTCCTTACCACTTTTGTCCTTTATTATGGTAATCTTTGTACGAAATGTTCCTTTCATATCTCCAATTTTCTTGAACACATCTCTGGTTCTTCCCATTCTGTTGTTTTCCTCTATTTCTTTGCATTGCTCGTTTAAGAAGGCCTTCTTGTCTCTCCTTGCTATTTTTTGGAAATCTGCATTCAATTTCCTGTATCTTTCACTATCTCCCTCACATTTTGCTTGCCTTCTCTCCCTCGCTATTTGTAAGGCCTCGTTGGACAGCCACTTTGCTTTCTTGCATTTCCTTTTCATTGGGATGGTTTTCGTTGCTGCCTCCTGTATAATATTGTGAGCCTCCATCCATAGTTCTTCAGGCACTCTGTCCAGCAAATCTAAATCCTTAAACCTGTTCCTCACTTCCACTGTGTATTCATAAGGGATTTGATTTAGATTGTATCTTATCGGCCCAGTGGTTTTTCCTACTTTCTTCAGTTTGAGCTTGAATTTTGCTATAAGAAGCTGATGATCTGAGCCACAGTCAGCTCCAGGTCTTGTTTTTGCTGACTGTATAGAGCTTCTCCATCTTTGGCTGCAGAGAATATAATCAATCTGATTTCGATGCTGCCCATCTGGTGATGTCCATGTGTAGAGTCGTCTTTTGTGTTGTTGGAAAAGAGTGTTTGTAATGACCAGCTTGTTCTCTTGACAGAACTCTATTAGCCTTTGCCCTGCTTCGTTTTGATCTCCGAGGCCAAACCTGCCAGTTGTTCCTTTTATCTCTTGATTCCCTACTTTAGCATTCCAATCCCCTATGATGAAAAGAACATCCTTCTTTGGTGTCACTTCTATAAGGTGTTGTAAGTCTTCATAGAATTGGTCAATTTCAGTTTCTTGAGCACCAGTAGTTGGTGCATAAACTTGGATTACTGTGATGTTAAAAGGTCTGCCTTGGATTCGTATCGAGATCATTCTATCATTTTTGAGATTGAATCCCAGTACACCTTTTGCCACTCTTTTGTTGACTATGAGGGCCACTCAATTTCTTTTACGGGTTTCTTGCCCACAGTAGTAGATATGATGGTCATCCGAACTGAATTCGCCCATTCCTGTCCATTTTAGTTCACTGATGCCCAGGATGTCAATATTTATTCTTGCCATCTCATTTTTTACCACATCCAACTTACCCAGGTTCATGGTTCTTACATTCCAGGTTCCTATGCAATATTTTTCTTTACAGCATTGGACTTTCCTTTCACTTCCAGGCATATTCGCAACTGAGCGTCCTTTCGGCTTCGGCCCAGCCGCTTCATCAGCTCTGAATCTACTTGTACTTGTCCTCCGCTCTTCCTCAGTAGCATGTTGGATGCCTTCCGACCTGAGGGGCTCATCTTCCAGCGTCATAACTTTTATATGCCTGTTGCCTTTGTCCATGGAGTTTTCTTGGCAGGGATACTGGAGTGGCTTGCCAGTTCCTGCTCCAGGTGGATCACGTTTGGTCAAAACTCTCCACTATGACCTGTCCATCTTGGGTGGCCCTGTACGGCATAGCTCATAGCTTCTCTGAGTTATTCAAGCCCCTTTGCCACGGCAAAGCAGTGATCCATGAAGGGGGTGGGAAATGTTAGTTGCAGATAAAATTTCATCACACTGGGCGGAGCTTCAAATACTTTTGACAAATTACAGTCCTTTCCGTTCAAGCAATTTCTTGTGGAAATGATTTCCATTTTTTATTTTTGTTGAATCAGCAAAGGCTTTTAGTAGAGAGCTGGTGAGGCTTTGTTCTTTATTTCTTTAGAGGGAGAGGCATTTATGAAACTTGAATTTTTTTTGTTTTACATTGACTGTTTTCTTTTCCTGCCTATATTTTACAATTTAATTATGGGTGCTTATTTTAATGTTTTTATGAAATTGTTTTAATGTGCATTTTAATTATATGTGCTTTTTATAATTGGCTTTATACTCATCAACTGCTTAGAAGCTACCTTAGCAATTAAGTGGCATATAAAAAACGATAACCACCACAACGTATCTGCCTCTTTTGCTCATTTATATCTTTCCATTATCTTTATCTCCACTTTTGGTAATTGGTTCGTTATTACTTTACGTTCTTTACTTTTGTTTAGATATTTAAAAAAATATGAAATTGTTCAAAAATAAAGTTTTTATATTATATTTTTAAATATTAAAAATAATTATTTTACTTTGACAAATTACAATCCATGGGTAATCCTTAACTCAACAAAGTTTTTAAAAAAAAAAAAATCAGTAGGCATTTATTAAATTTATCTGATTTTGTCTCTTTTGTAACTTTACTGTACGTCACTTAGAAACCATGATGCTAAACAGTATATAAATTGTTCAAAGAAACAAGCTACACTCAGAGTAGACCCACTGATGTTAATAGACCTAAGTTAGTCACGCCCATTATTTTTAATGGATCTACTCTGAATAGAATTAACATTGGATACAACCCAGTTGCAATTAAGTTTATCCGTTTCTTTTTCAGATACTGAAGGACGTGCCACTTCAGCAAGAATTAATTGAACAAAATGACTACTAGTTTTTCAATAGATATGCAATCTTGACAAATATGTAGCTAAATAATCATAATAATAATTTATTACTTATACCCCGCCCATCTGTCTAGGTTTCCCCAGCCACTCTGGGCAGCTTCCAACAAGAGATTAAATAGGGCTATTAGTCATAATGGGGAAACAGAGCCTCTCTATGCGGTGGGATTAGACCACTATATTTATTTGGGCCATGGCTCCTTGGCAGAGCGCATGCTTTGTGTGCAGAAGGTCCCAGCTTCAGTCCAGGGAGGGCTGGGGATTTCTCCTGTTTGAAACCCTGGAGCAACATCTGCTGCCAGCCAGTGTAGGTGATGCTGAGCAACATGGAGAACTGATGTGAGTCTGTTGGTTTGATTTTAAACCTTTGCTGTAAGCGCGTTCTGTTTCGATGCAGAAATGTGGCAAAGATATTATTTTAACACCACTTAAATCCAAAGAAAATCTCATTAAAATCAATGGCACAAAATTAGTTGAAAGTGCTGTAATAAGTAGTAGTAATAGTGGTGGTAGTAGTAGTAATAATAATAATAATATCACAAGAATTATGAGGTAATGGGTGTGAAGCGTGGTTTGTTTTCTGGTTCTTGTTTTGTACTGTTTCGCCCACCTTCTTTCTCCTTATTATTACTGATTTATTTCATTTTATTGATAGATAGATAGATAGATCACTTGATTGTAGGAAAAATCTAAAAAGCAACGGGCGGCTTTCTGGCCAGAGCTGCACCTGACGGACTTCCGGCTGCTCCGGCCGTGGGCGGGGCTTGGGAGGGGGCGGGGGGAGAGGAAGCCTCAACCGACGCCGGTGGAAGCGCCGGCCTGGTTGCCCCGGCAACGCAGCTGCTGTTTTCGCCGCGGCTGCACCTGAGCCTCCGCGCCTGCGCAGTTCCTCTGCCCTCGACGTCACCCCGGCCCCCTCCCTCTTCTTCCCTCCCTCCCCCCCCCGTCAGGGGGCAGCGCTTGCCCCTCCCTCAGCCTCCCTCCCCCCCTCAGGACCGGAGTGGGGCGGGGGGAGCAGCGGCGGCGGCGGCGGCGGCGGGTGAGTATGAGAAGCCCCCCCCCCCGACCCCTCACCGCGTTCTTCCCAGCATGCACCGCCTGGTGGGACTGACTCAACCCGCCCCTCCTTCCCCACGTTCAGTTGGTGGGGGGTCTTGACGCCCCCTCCCCCATTTGCGTCAGAAGAGGTGGAGGAAAGGGCAGAAGAAGGTCCCCAGCAAGGTGAGCAGCTTCTCCTCCAGGACTCCTCCTGTTATGGGGCACCTCCCTCCCCTCCATTGATCAACCCTTGGGGGGCTGCCAGGGCACACGCAGGAAGGGGCCCTGCTGGCGCCTGCCCTGCCCCTGTTTGCTTACCTGCTTTTATGCCCATCACTTGGTCAGCTTGGTCAGGGCACCCACCTTGTGTCCCAGGGCATTGTGGGAAATTCAGAAGCACGTCTGGGAGCAGCTCCCCCTTTCCGCTGGCAGCGCCCATGGATGGGAAGACTTTCTGGTGCCTCTTCCGCAGTGGGTCAGAGCTCATTTGCCCTTCTCCCTCCACCATATGGAAAGGGTGTAAGGTGGGACGGGGGCAGGAAGTAAGAATCCGGCCGCATGTTCTAGCCTCCCCATTTCCTGGGAAATAATGGGCATCCTCATACCCAGGTGAGAAGTCCACTGCCCCTCCCCACTGTGGGGTTGGAGAGGACAGTTCTCCCTCAGGTCAAGTGGGGAGCGGGTATTCTTCCAAGTGGAAAGATGCAGGTGGGAGAAAGACTCCAGGAACACATTCATGTTTCAACCAACCACCTCACCTTGGTATTCTTGCTCATACCAGAGAGGGCCAGAGGCAGGGACCATTTCCTCTCCATGTAAGTTTGGTGTGAGTATTCCTGCAAAAAGGAACTTTGGGGGGGAAAGTACCCATTCACTTAAATATCCCATCCTACCTGGCGAAATAGAAATCATAACACTTGTATCTCTTTAGTTAGTACAAGTGGAGAGTAGATGCTCCTCCAAAAAGAAATGGGAAAATAAAAAAGACGCTCACATACCCATGTAAACCCTGAATTGATTGCTTGGGAGTGCCCCCTTTCGTAGAATTTAGGAGAGAATGTGCATGCAATGGGCCTCCCCAGCAACCCGAAAGAGTTCTTGCAAAGAAGATTAATGTAGAGGCAGCCCATATTTGGGCTAAAATGGGACACACTTCATTTGGGCATTGGTTTCCCCAGCAAACAAACAAATAAATAGGTTTTATAGAAGTGGATCGTCCTCCAAGAGGTATACTGGAAAAAGAGACACATACACACACTCCCAAATGTATTGGACTGAAGACACACTAGAATTCTTCACAGGGAAATGTTATCATTCTGGCTTATGGATGTGTGGATGAGGTGCCTTGAGGGCCCCCAAAGAAGCCTGCTGGAGTTGTCTTTCTGAGGAGGATCAAAACACCCCATCCTGACAGATGAGGAAAGGTAACCTGCATATGGGACAGATAGAGATGCCACCATACTTGAACCTGCTTCACTTTGCTTCATCCCTGCCGTCGGATTCTTTTCTACCCCACTCTAGATTTAAATCAAGATTGTGGAGCTGGTGGGAAGAAAAGAGAAAGATCTGGGCATTTTCTTCCCTATAGAGCTATGGTAGGGTATCTGTGGTATTCCAGATGTTACCGGACTCCCAACTTCCAGCCGCCCCAGCCAGCATGGCCAACGGCTAGGGATGATGGGAGTTGTAGTCCAGTGACATCTGGAGGGGCACCGGTTATTCATCCCTGCTATAGAAAAAAGCAAGCCCTTGGTCTTTCGGTATATTTTTTTTGGGGGGGGGGGGGAGAAATACCCAGAAGCTTTTGCGCAAGTGTGGGATCAGGGTATGCCTTGTGTTTTCCATCTCTATGTAAGGGGGATGGTTGCAGGTTTTCCCTAAACCGGTTAAAGAGTTATATTGTGGGTGAGAACAAGGCAGTCTCCCCTCAAAAATTAGCTCTGGGCATGATCTCAAAGGGGAGGGGTTCAAAGCATCCTATCCTTGTAAATGAATAGGACAGTTGGCTTATATAGTGGGGGTGGGTACCTGCGGTCTTCTGGATGTTCTTGGACTACAGCTCCCATAATCCCTGACCATCATTGGCTATGCAGATGGGGGTTGCTGCGGATTGACAACCCAGCAGCCTCTCAAAGGCTACTGGTTCCCCATCCCTGCCATATAGCAAAGAGGTGAAGACAACTGGAAAAAATGAGGCCGCTCACTGTCCCTTCCATTAGAGAGAGAGAAATCAGGGCACTCCTTAAAAAAGAGTGACAGTGGGGTTCATGTACAGTTAAAAAGGCCGCAAGGTCTCTCTCCCCCGCCTTCGCCTTCCCCAAGTCAGGGAACTGATTCTGCCTTTTCAGTGCCTTGGGCACCTCAGCCTTATGGGCTGCCTCTTTCCATCTTGGATTTTTCTTCAAGGGGAAGGGCCAGTTTGTGCATCTCTCTTTGATTAGGCAACAAAGGTGGATGTTTCCCCTCCTGCCACTTGGTCTCTGCAGTGACTTTGCTTCTTCCCCTGCTCAGCATTTCATGGGGGAATTTGGATTCCTTTCTGGAGTCTCTTGGGAGCAGTGGCAAGTGGGGAAGAGGGGAGTTGCCTGCTCTGCTGCCCCTCTTTCTCAGAATGTGTGACCCCACTGGCAAAAGTGCTAGCCTCATTTATTTAACTCAGCATACATTGGACTCACATTCCCTCTATCCCTGCAGCAATCCTGTTCCGTGGGAACTGTCCTTTATCAAGGGTGCTGGGAATTGTAGCTATGTGAGGGGTAAACTACAGTTCCCAGGATTCTTTGGGGGTGGGTGCTTTAATTGTATGGAGTTTACACAGCCGCCTAACCGCGTCCAATGTGAAGTGTTATCCCCACCCCCTTTGCCAGCTCTGGTCCCAGTGTTGTATTTTGTCTGGAATATATAAATACCCTGGAGCTGTTGGATTTCAGGAGAGAGTTGGCTTTGGTCTGGTTTCCCTTTCAGCTTAAGGAGAGGAAGGATTCTGAAGGGCAGCGCTGGGTTTGAGCTGCGGGTGGGGAGGGGAAGAGGTGACCTTATCGCCATCATCATCTCTCGTTGCAGCAGTCGCATAGCAGTCACATCGCGTGGACAAGCAGAGGGGAAAGATGGGAGTATTGTGGCATGTGTGGGAAGGAGGGCTTGGATCTGGGCGCAAGCCCGTCTGGCTGTCCTGTCCTTTGTGGAAATGCTAACAAGGCAAGGCAAGGCACGCTTCTCCCCGGAAATGGAGTTCCTCCCAGCTACCGGGCTGGCTGGCCGTGGTCTGCATATTTCTTCGGCTTAAGCCCAAGGTGGGACATAAGGGTGGGTGGGTTTTAGTTTTTGCTAATCACTGGAGCTGACGCTGGCTGGGAAATGTGAAATTTATTAATGTATGTTGCTAAGTTGTAGCAGTGCGTTTGGAAATGTAACCTAAGACGGAAGTAGAGAGGCGCTTTGGCATCTCTGTGGGGGGGGGGGGGGGCGTTGTAAGACTGCCGTCCGCATTGCAGGTTCATAAGAGATCCAGGAGACTTTCCTGCTTTGGGGGATGTGGAATGCTTGAACAAAAGGTATTTCTCTCTCCATTCTTAAGTAGCAGTAATTAACCATCTTAATACTGTATTGCTGTTGCTGGCTTTCAAACTGGACTTGCAACAATCCCTCCCTTTTCTTAAGTGTTTCTTCTTTTGACTATAAATAAATCATGATTATTCTGAGATTGATTGTGTGAGAGTCTTAGTTTGTAGGGGAACTTGTCTATTTTTGATTAACAGAAATATTTGGTTTTCCTTCCTCATCTAAATTAGTTTAATTTAGTTGACTTTTTGAATCACCTTAGCCAAATTATCTCACTTACTGATTAAATCAGTTGCAGCATGTGCCTCACACACATACCCCACCTGTATTTTGTAGAATTTGAAGTCTGACCACAATCTTTGTTACTATATGTTTTCAACTTAAAAGGTGGGGCAGCCATTTCTGAGGAAGGGGTTGCCTTTGTAAAAGAATTGGTAAAATTAATATATTAGACATTAGCAATAATACTTGGCCATCTTCCTAATAATTTTTGCATCTGCTATCCAGTTTTAGATTTTATACAAAAATTGCTATAACATATAAATAACTGCTAGTTTGTAAAGTCTGAGTACAAATTTTGATTAGTAGTTGATTTATTTTCAAGGCCATTGCTTTTTAATTGGTCCAGTTGAGCTCTACCTATGTAAAATAGAAAATTGCTACTGTTAAGAAGTAATGAATGGGACAGAATCCCTTGTGATTAGATGGGCAGGAACAATGGGCACCCCCCCCCCCAAACTTCATTCTTGTCAGCTGGCAGGTAATTGGAATCTGTTTACCTCTGAAGACTGTGGAAATGGCATAAAGCTTTAGAATAGCAGAAGAACGGAAACTTTCTTCTGGGTTTGGTACAGATGACACTTGTAGTCTGTCGTTCCTTTTATTTTAGATGATTGAAGTACTCAAAGTTGCTGAAAGTTAAGAAATGGCGTTAAGAGCGACATTTAACTTTAAAGACTGATTTGTAAGTTAATGCTGGTGCAGCCTACTGTAGTAATTAACTTATTAGTATTTGTTATATAGCCAGTTTTTAATGGTGGAGGACATTACTTGTTTGCTTGCCGTCAGTGATTAACAAAGTGTGTGTGTGTGTGTGTGTGCATTTTGTAAGACAAGGGACAAATGGCTAGTTCACTAAGTTTGATGTTCATGGGGGCATTGGACTCTATTGGCTTGGAAAGAGTCTGTCATAATTACTGTGTAGATGATTGTGGTGTCAGCTTTTAATAATTTTAAAAAGAGGTAAAGATTTTTGGAATTATCTGAGACTAAACTTTGATGGCATGTTCCTTTTGCAGGCATTCCCTCTCTCCCCTTTACTGCAGTGCACAGCAGAGCCATCCTATTGCAGCAACACCCCTGCTGTGTCTCACAAGCATCTCCACCTTTTCAGAACTTGGCTGGAATATTTTTCCAACTGAATTCTTTCTCAGGCTGCTTCTGCTACATCACTGTAAAAAAAATGGTGCTGCTTGGGTGAGGCGAAGCAAGACAGGTTGTCCTCTGTCTGTAAAAGAGAAGTATCCTTCTCTCTTTGCCCTCAAAGCTGTACAACTAGAACTTGTTGATTCGGCTGTGCAGATGGTGGTCTGCTAAAGAAACTTTAAAGCAACCTCAATCCTTGCCTGCTTCTTACATCTTTGTTTCAAAATTAATGTAAAACAAACAACTTAGTAGTGATTATATTTTTATCTGCACAGATAAAAATGGTTCACACTCATTCTTCTGTAATCTACTTGTCTTCGATTCCCATGAACACAAGCTTTTGTGATTTTAAAATAAGGAATAAGTTTCTAGTCCTGACTATTGAAGTGGTGAATTTCTAATGCTGAAGAAAGTTGTCCACCTCAGCTGGAGAATAAATTGATTAAGGCAGAGTAATGTAGCCCTGGTGGCTTCATGGGTTTCTCTCTGCTGGGTTGTTGGGTTGCCTGTAGTGGGATCTGGCATTTGCCAAGGCCTTGCCCGCACTATGCTGTCAGCAAGTGGCAGGTTGCCATTCCGCCTTAGCAGCAGAATGCTTGCCTGCTTTGGGGATATGGATGGAAGTGTAGTGCTTGCATCGTGATGGGAAGAGGTGCGGGGCCAGTGACTTACTTCTTTGTGAAAAAGGTATGTTGGGCTAGATGGATCCTTGATCTGATGAAGTATAGATTAAGAGGTTTTAAAAATGTAATGCACAAAGATCTGTTCTGCTTGCATGGCATGACCAGAGTGTGTTTCTGCAAAAGTGTGGAAGAAGCCCTTATGCTGCAGGGAGACAATAACTTTTAAGAGTTGAAAGTGCTATGTCCAGATGTCTGCCGCTGCTTCCACGGTGTACACACTCCACTCTTTCATTCTCTTGAACAAACGGGTCTTGCAAGATGGAATCAGAATTCAAAATGACCTTGACAGATTGGAGAAATGGGCGCAAGCTAACAAAATGAATTTCAATAGGGACAAATGTAAGGTTCTGCACTTGAGGAAGAACCAGATGCACAAAGATAGGCAGGGGGACACCTGGCTTACTAGCAGTACATGTAAAAAAAAATCTAGGGGTCCTTGGTGGACCACAAGCTTAACATGCGCTAACGCTCTTCTAGGCTGCATCAACAGAAGTATTCTGCCTTGCTCAGACCACACCTGGAATACTGTGACCAGTTGTGGACACTGCAATTTAAGAAGGATGTTGAAAAACTAGGAAGTGTGCAGAGAATGGCAACCAAGATGATAAAGGATCTGGAAACCAAGCCTTTACGAAAATGCTTGAAGGAGCTGGGTATGTTTAGCCTGGAGAAGAGGAGATTGAGAGGAGAGAGCTGTCTTCAAATGTCTTAAGGGCTGTTACATGTAAGAGGGAGCATGCTTGTTTTCTCCTGCTCTTGAGGGTAGGACTCAAGGCAATGGCTTCAAGTTACAAGAAAGGAGTTTCCGACTAAACATTCGGAAAAACTTTCTGACAGTGAGAGCTGTTCGGCAGTGGAGCAGACTCCCATGGGAGATGGTGGACTCTCCTTCCTTGGAGGTTTTTAAGCAGAGGGTGGATGGCCATCTGTCGGGGATGCTTTAGCTGAGAGTCCTGCATTGCAGGGGGTTGGACTAGATGACCATTGGGTCCTTTCCAACTCTAAGATTGTATGATTCTAAGCTCTTGGAGCGCTGTTAGAATTTGCAAATTGTGGTGATAGGAAGGTGAGTGTGGCTTGCTTACCATGGGCAACTATGGTCCTCTCCTCTCACCTCAGCTTCATGAAAAATGCTGCCCATCTCCAGCCTCAGATAACTTCCCACCCAGGAAGGGTGGAAGTATGTTAATTTCAGGGCTTTGAGATTGCAGCCCAAGATGTCCCTAAATTATCCAAGATTCATTGATAGTATACAGAGTGTGTTGCTTCAGTTCTTCCATATCTTCAGCACTAATAACCACTTTTAGGAAAGTGGTGTTTTTTTTAAATGTCAGCACACACCACTGGGAGGTGCAGCTGTCCCGTCCCCCGGTCCCCAGATTGTGCCTCAGTATCTGTATAAGCATTTGCAGGCTCCACTTGCTACCATTCCCACCCACCCATGTTTGTATTTTAGGAAAAGATAACAGCACTAAAGGCTGCCAGAAGCAACCTCTCTGACACCAGTAACACCCCAAGTTTTGATGTGAGTTGATATGGAGGCAGGATGGAGAGATTCAGCATTCAGAAGTCCCACAGCATACTAGAAGTATCTTTGTATTTAATATGCATGGGTGTTTCATGTTGCTGCCATCAGCTCGGGGTTACTTTAGGCAGGAAGGGGAATCTCACCTTTCCTCCTTCTGCTGGAGTGCTGAGGATAATCCTACCAGATGCTGCTATGTTTGTTTTTGGAGGGTGGGGAATCCCTCATTAGCACCAGTAGAGGATCCCCTCCTCCCCCCAAAAAACAACACCTAAATACCAACATTACAAGAGGGTTATTCCTCAGGATTGCAGCAGGGGAGGAAAAGGTTAAATCCCCCCATGCGTGATCCCATTAATTGCCTTCCAAGTTCATGATGATATTTGCATTTTTTAAAAAAACAAAAACCCTGCATATTAAGTGAAAAGACGTATTTAACCTCCCTCTACTAGGAGTGTCAGAGCTTCAGAAATGACAGACACACATTTTTTCTGAGTGTAAACAGAATCCTTGCAACAGAACAGCTGGTTCAAACAGTCCCCCCCCCCCCGAAAATGTCTCACAGTGAGAGCATCCCTCTCATAGAATCTGCAAAGCACCCACTTAACAGTAATTTCTACTGGAGAGGCTGTTTGAAGTGGGCTAAAAATAGACACTTTAAAAAATTCAGCCACTCAGGGCTGCTTGCAAGCACAAGCAGAGGGTGGGGCAGTTTGCCGCATCTCTGAAGCCAGTAGACTACAGCCATCCAAGATTAAATTTTCAGAAGTGTTTTTGCAGATGAGTATAGACTGCTGGGTACCTTTCAGATGTGGTTTTGGTGATAACATATTTTGAGTGCATATGGATGTATACCTTTTAACTTTTCAGTTTCCAGCTGCTCAGAAGAGACTGCTGTAAATTTGCCATTTTTTGTTCTGCCCAGAAAATTGGGAGAGTAGGGAGGGATAATAGTACAAGCTATGCAGAATGAGGTGGTAGAATTTTGGATTGTGCTACTTTAGGCTGCTTTAGGTGAGGTAGTCTCATTTTTATTAATGTGTTGTTAAAAACATATATTTGCATGCAATTAGTGAAAACTAGCATGTTGAAGAGTTGGCCTTGAAGAGTGGGCCATGCTAAGCCTTTTCCCCGGTGGACTGATTCTAGTTCAGCCTTTGCTACCCTGGTGACACCAGATGTTTTGGACTACAACCCTAGCCAGCACACCCACATTTACTGCATTTACTGCATATACATTTACTTTGCGGGTGGTGCTGGGGGTTAAACCACAGAGCCTAGGGCTTGCCGATCAGAAGCTCGGCGGTTCGAATCCCTACGACGGGGTGAGCTCCCGTTGCTCGGTCCCTGCTCCTGCCAACCTAGCAGTTTGAAAGCACGTCAAAGTGCAAGTACGATAGATAAATAGGTACCGCTCCAGCGGGAAGGTAAACGGCGTTTCCGTGCGCTGCTCTGGATCGCCAGAAGCGGCTTAGTCCTGGCCACGTGACCTGATAGCTGTACGCCGGCTCCCTCGTCCAGTAAAGCAAAATGAGCGCCGCAACCCCAGAGTTGTCCGCGACTGGACCTGATGGGGTTAACCTTAACCTTTACTTCCTCCCAGTAACTCCATGTTCTCTCAGTTTTTTAGAATGACAACACAGGACAAGCCCCCTGTAGGAAGTGGTTTGCATTTATGCAGGGAGGGGCGTGTTGATTAAAAAATCAGACACAAGACCCATTTGCCTTTCAAAGTGGCACAGCTGCAAATTTCACCATGTTCTTCCACATAATCTATAAAATGTTTCTGAGGGAGCATGGGGTGGTAGGAGAAGAGTATGAGACTTGTGGATGCTGATGTGGCCAACCATGTGTCTTCAGTCTCTTCCCCTCCCATCTCCTGTCTCTGCACACTTTTTTGATGTCTGGCTGCCAGTATGTGAGCCCTGTGTGCAGTTGACAGCAGGTGGTGGTGATAGGAACCTGAGGTGGTAGATTGACTTTAGATAGAGAAGCCTTCAGAAGTGGATTTCCCTAAGGATTAAAACAAACAAACCACCCACCCCTTGGCAAGTAGAAATATAGCACAACAGAGGGAGAGAGGGGGAGGGAGAGAGGGAGATGGATTAGAACATTTCTCCCTGATGTACTAGTTTTCCATTTGCAGATGTTTGGGGAGAGCATAGAATGCTCACTGAAGTGGTACAATCCACTCTGTCCCCTCATGATTGTTCTACATCGTTCTGCTTCATGTGCAGACCAACCCTCCCTCCTTCCCGCTAGCACCCTGTTGGCTGTTGCACCTCTGTGCATCCATTGTTGCGCAGGGATGGGAGACCTCCAGATGTGGTTGGGCTGCAGCTCCTCATCAGTCCAGGCAGCATGGCCAGTTGCTGGGATCTGTAGTCCATCAACATCTGGAGGCCACAGATTCCCCCACCTTTGTTGTGAAGGAAACAACATGGCCTGGAGCTTTGGACAGCCCCAACAATTATAAGATGCAAGGCACAAAGCGGCAACAGCCCTTGGGCTCCACCCAGATGGAGTAATTTCATTGCATTAGGTCACATGAAGGTGTTTCTGTTGTCCTGGGCCTTGGCACCTGGTTGTCTTTCTAAGATGGCTGTTGCAACATTGGCTCTCAGGTATGAGCTATATTAAACTGCACCTATCATTGTTGGCTCAACAACCCAACGCCCTCCAGTTCTAGCTGGACTTCTAGCACCCCTGACTTTTGGCCATGCAGGCTGAATCTGATCAGAGTTGGAGTCAAATAACATGGAAAGGGCCAGTGGTCAGCCACACCTGGCCCTGTGACAATCTTCCCTCCCTGATTTAAAGTAAATTGCATCAGTTTTCCAGAAAGCATCTTGGGGGAAATTAGAAAAGCATCCCTATTGCTTATCTCTGCTCATTTCCTGAGTGCATTGGGGCGTTCCTCTTGATAGCCTTTGAGACTTTCTCCTCTTAATTGTTCTTCCGTTGCTGCTCCATCAGAGACTTGCCACAGTACCTAAAAATAACTCCACAGTGATATTAAGACCTGAGACATTCAGAGGTCGACTGAAAGGAGACTACAGCATTCTGTCTGGGAGATTGGGGTGGTGGTGGGGAATGTACACTTCATAAAACATGTCATATGCCTTTAAAAATAGAAAATATTTAGAGGCTTTTTATATTCTTCTGAAAAGAACATGAGCTCACTGAGCTTCTTAAAGGGCTGGTTCCATATTTTTCTGGAAACTACCTGTGCCTTTTGGTTGTGAACTCAACCAGTAAGAATACATTACAGTGCTGGCAGAGGACACATTTTTAAGTGTCTGGGCACCAGGATCTAATTTTTAGTTGCTTTGGTGACTAGAGGCCTTGGATGTTCATGCTCTACTAATTTTATTTTAAAAACTAAAAACAGCTTTATTTGGCATTACCTATGACATATGCCTTTGTTTTGCTGACTGGTGGGAATCATGCCCTTCACCCAGTTGTGGATGGTTGGTGGATTGAGAGGAGGATCTCCCAGGGGAAGAAACTGGTGGAAGAAAGGAAAGCTCCCAGGTGAGAGCTAGCAGGGTGGGGACCAGCCCTCTCCGTGTGAGACAAGGGTTCAGAGCTGCCTTTGGAAGAGGACTCTGCACTTTCTTCTCTCTCTCTCTGTTTTTGTTTAGATTAGTTCCTTTTATCTTACAGTATTATGAAAAAGCTGTAATCAAATCTTATTAAAAGGACTCATGCCCCCTTCACCCAGCCCTGCTTTAAAAACCAGCATTACTCCTTTTCATTTATTGCCCTATTTATTGCTGCTCTACTTAGTACTTAACCATGGTTTCCACAAAGCAATTCTGGAGACAGTTCCTGTTCTTGTTTTATTTTTATTATTTTTCCCTTTAGCATGTTTAGTGTTATTGTATTATGATTTACTGGTGCTGTTGTCCTTTTAAAATCATAGTAATAAAAGGTATTTTTTAAAAAATAATAAATCTCAAAATCTTTTAAAACATCCTTCTTGGGTGGCACTGAGTTATCAGTGGAACGCTGAAACTGGTGCCACAACTGTGTTTGCATGCTTGCATTTTTTAATAGTTTGTTTAGTTCAGGAGTTCCAAAAATGACACAACTAGAACTTTTTTGCAGTACTTGGAAAAAACCAAAACCGTGCCATAGCACCTGCCATTATTCCCCCCACCCACTTTCCTCACAGGTGCCCAGATATGGAAGCTCAGTGGCAGAGAATATGCTTCACTTGAAAAAGGTCTCCGGTTCAATCCCCGGTGTGCCCAGCCAGGGCTGGAAAAGACTCCTACCTGAACCCTGCAGAGCCACTGAGTGGACAGTACTGAACTAGTTGGACCCAGGGGTCCGAGGCAGGTTTCCTATGTAACTAACCTGGTTCCCATTGTTGCAAGGGGCCTTATGTTTTCTTCTGCCGCCTCTTTCTTCCCTTTTCTTGTAGGAGATGGCATGAAATCTGTAAGGGCATGCAAATGTTGCAGTGCAGAGCACTACTGCTCAGGTTTCCAACCAGCCAGGCATGCCTGTTCCAAGAAAACTCAGTTTCTGGATCCCCCCCCCCTCAGTTGTTGTTTGGGGAGGGAATACCTGTGCAGACCTTGGGGTTTCCCCAAGCCTGCTGATGCCAGACACACTTTTGTGTGTGTATGGGGATGGTGACGGTTACATAAGGACCCACACTCTGAGAAGTGGGTAGCCTAAGTGGTCCCCTCAGGTGTTTTGGACCACAGTTCCCCAAATCCCTGGCCATTGGCCATGATGACCAGGGGTGATGGAAGTTTGGTCCATGACATTGGAGAGCACCAACCTTGGCTGCCCGTGATACAGGATTTTGGTGGTGGCTAGTGATGAATGCTTTTGTTGAAATATAATAGAAATATAGAGTTTAAATCCGTGGTTCCCAAACCACCCCCTCCCAAGGGCCACTTGAAAATTGCTAATAATTATTAAGTGGACCACTTAATAATAATTCTGCCTATTGTAGAAAGTGTAATGCTGTATGATTTTCAGCTGCATTTTTACAGACATGCCGCGGACCACCTGAATGAAGCTTGTGACCACTGGTAGTCTGCAAAACTCAGTTTGGCAAACCCTGCTCTAAATAACTCAGTTAATCCCTGTTTTTAAAGGTTTGTTTTTTACCGTGCAAGTTCATTGTAATGGATGGAGCGTGTTACCTGCTTCTGGGCTGCCTTTGTTCTTTAGGTGAGTTCTGCTGTATAGAGAAGGCATGCAGAACCTCTTTTCTGCCTGATAGCTGTATTCCCTTGTAGGAAACCTTCCAGGGGTTGCATGCCTATGCTGGGAAGGACCAGAGGCAAACGTGGCTGGGGTAGTAGATGCAATTCTTACTTCTGTGCAGCAGGCTGCATTCTAGCCATGCAAGAGGCAGAAAGTCCTACATGCCCACAGCATGCTCACCTCTCCAGTCTTCTTCCAGGCAGCAAGTGGTGTTATCCTTGTTCTAAGAACACATTCCAGGAAGGCAAAAGCACTTAGGAAAGTGTGGAGCCGGGTCAGTGAAAGCTGTAGCTGGAGGTGGGGTGTGGCCATTGAGAAGAAACCTAAGAGCTGGACAGAGAGGCCTGGGGGTGGTACTTGGACCCTGGGCCAAAGGTTCCCCTCCCCTAGTTTAGAGAGATGGTGTGGGGAAGAGGAGAGGAAGAGAGAAAAAGAGAGGAAAGGTTTGTTCTTTGTACAGTGTAGAGTTCAAAGTCAGCCTTAGGTTAAACCACTGCTTTTTTTTTGCCCTTTTTAGTGTTGGTACTCATAAAAGTGCCGTGGGTGCCAGCACAAAATGGCTTCCATGTGCAGAAAGAAAGAAAAAAGAGGTTCCAGTGAGTTCTGGAAGGCTACTGAACAAGCCTTTTCCAAAGGCCGCCTTTCTCCCTCTAGAACAAGCAGAGGCGTAGCAAGGTCAGGTGGTACCCAGTGCGGAATTTTTTTTGTCACCCCCCCCACACAAGTTGGGAGTGGTGGGTGGGCGACATGGCTCTTGGGCAGCTGGAAGGAGCCCCGCCCACCTGCCACTTCCCTTCCGGTCACCAGGCGACCGACAACACATCAGGGGGCCTGTCCTCCGCCTCCTTGCTCTCCTTTTTCGTGTGCCGTGAAGGACTCTCCAGTGCAGCCAGCAGGTAGAGCCCCTTCTTGCCGGGGGGGCTGCCCCTTTTCGACTCCCCTGCGCCCGGGAGAGCCCTCCTCCACCCCCCCAAGCCCACCGGGAACGTGGCCAAGAGGCCGCTCAAACTTTCGGTTCCTAACTTAGCAGAGGAAGATTTTCCTCCACCTTTGAAAGGGGGGCGTCGGCAGCTTCCTGGCCTCTCTTGATTCCTCTGAGCAGCCAATGCCAATGCCCCCTGGTTCAACGGCTCAATGGTGGGGGGCTATGTGCATGGAGCAAGGGAGGGTCAGTCGGGCTCCGCGGGGCATCTGCTTCGCTCTTGGCCGGCCTCCAGCGCCCTTCTTCTCCTTCCTCCTCCAGGGCTCAGGATGCCTTACAAGCACCAGGGGTGCAGCCAGACGGGAGAGGATGTGCAGCCCCCGGGAGGGACGCCAGGGGGAGCCCGGGGAGCACACCAAATGTCCCTCCCGAGCGCACCGCCCTCAGACAGAGAACTCCCAAGCCTCCCCCGAGCTGTCAAAACGAAGGGGGGAGGCCGCCCTCAAAGCGGCACAGCTCCCCCCTTCCCCCGACAACTCAGGGTAGGCTTGAGTGTCATGGGTGTCACGCCAAATGTCACCCCCCTCAGTGATGACACCCGGGGCGGTCCGCCTCCACCGCACCCCCCTTCCTACACCTCTGAGAACAAGGTGCTCCAACCTTTCATACCAAGTAGGCCACAAGAGTACTTTGACATGGAACCCATGGGCTGGACACTGCTTTGTGGGGGGGGGGGATAAAGTCCAAAATTTGACAGACACACACACACACACACACACACACACACACACACACCCCAGCCCTCATGCTGCCTTCTTAAAACCTGGTAAGCACTTGCCCGGCTTCAGGAAAAAGATCGGAGAGCTCTGCCAGGGTAGATGGTTGTTTTGTATAATCCTGATGGTCTCTGTGGAGCTGGACCTGCACAAGTTGTTATTTCCTAAGCAGCTGATAAATTTATAATCCATTTTAGCAGGGGGGTGGGGGTCTTTGCTTGCCAGGAGATACTGTCATTAAGGCACCTGCCAAAGGATCTCAGATGTTGAAGTTGTAGATCTGCCCTGTAGAACCTCTTCCTTGTCTGTTTTCAGTACTGTGAGAGGGGCATTTGCTTAATTAATCAAAGAAGAATTGGAAGTAGCAGAGGATTTTGGAGGCTCTTCAAAGGGGTGGCGGGTCGGTAGGTAGGTCGGTAGGTAGATATTGTGCGTTGTGGTGGTCCATTAGCAAGGTTGTTCTGACTTTTCAGCCAGCAATATCAAGGTGTGACTATATAGCACTGGAACGCCTGGGTTTTTTATAAAAAAAATCTCAGATAAAATGAAATAATTTGGTTTGTTTTTGTTGCAGATCACTGCTCCAAGAATGCAGTCGCCAAGAGTGTGATGGGGCCGTAGCTCAGTGATAAGAGTGCATGCTTTGCCTGCCAAAGGTTCTGTCTCTCCAGCTAAAAGGGTCTTACGTATCGGGGCTGAAAGGGAGAGCCCTCAGTGAGGCCCACGAGAGCTGCTGCTAGTAGGGCAGATTGCCCAAAGGGTTTCATTTGGCCAAAGGTAGCTTCAGATGTCGGTACATTCAGATTTACGACTGATTCAGACATCGGACACCTCAGGTTGTATCCAATGTAGTGCTAAGTTAAAGTCACTTACTGGTGTAACTTGTTCCAGTGACAAAATGTTTTGTGCCGGCCGAAGATTGCTGGCAACGAGTTTCCGCTAGTTCAGCTGCTGTGTTGGATTCCTCTGTTGTGCAACATTAAAACTTACCTGCCTCCTAGCATAAGCACCCTTGCACTAGCAGACAGAGAACTTTGGCTACAGCCCCTCACGTGGACCACCAACAAAGGCTGGTGCCTGGAGACTCGAATGTCAAATGCTCTGAGTGCCACAGGGTGGAGGCGTGTTTCATTTAATTCATTCACTTGCTGTGTTTGTATGCTGTCTTTTGCCCAAAGAGCTTAAGGCAACATAAGTACCCCGGCCGTCTTTTATCATCACAGCAGTCTTGTGAAGGTGAGATGGACTGAGAGGCAGTGCCTGGCCAGTGAACTTCATGTCCGAGCATTTGTGTGTATGCGTGTAGGTGTGACATTTGCCTGTACTTTTAGGTGGCTTCAAACTACCATTTGATAAAGTACTTCAAGATAAAGCCAGTCTCTTTAAGCTAAAACTGGCTAGCAATGTTTGGTGATGCTTTTCAGCAGTTAATTGTGGTTTAGCTTCTAGTATTCCACTAAGGGAGGAAACATATTCCTTTCATAGACCAGCTGCTGGGCAACCAGAGTCACCCCGCCCCCCAAGCTGGAAATGTCCCCTTTCACTGCTTTTGGACTCTGGCACTGGACTCTCTTTCGCCTGGGCTGGTAATGCTTCATTGGTAGAGCAGATATTTCACATAGCGGTGAAGGTCGGGAATCTTGGAAATGGCCCTCCCCCTCCCTCCCTCCCTGGCACACAGACCTCCATGGCAGGAGTAGAGAGGCTGCCTCCTGACTAATCTGAGGCTCTTTTCTGCTTAACCTCTCGTCAGCTCAAGCCAACTCAGGGAGTTGTAGTCCAAGACAGCTGAATGGTGGCAGTTTAGGGAGCGCTGAGGCACACCCAGGTGTGTGGAATGCTTCCGCCTGCACCAGTCCCTCCACCTGCCCTCCACCGGTTGCCAGGGCTTTGGTGTCTCCATAAGTGAGCATCAACACGCCTTGTTTGTTGGAGGGACGACAACAGCAGACTTCCCATGCTCCCAGGTGTGCTGCAGCAGCACTCAGTCCTGGGTACAGGAAGCTGCTGTCTGGTCTTGTCTTTGGAAGATCCCTGGAACTGTGTGTCTGCTCTTGTGAAGGTGTTGTCTGCAGCAGCATCCGGCAGTTGCCTCCTTTCTCCAGATTCCATGAGTGATTCTTTGCTAGTGAGCTGCGAGCTTTAACAATTCCAGTTTTTTGCCCTGTAACTTCAGGCTCCCACCTCCTATCTCCATCAGGTGTCGTCGGCAACGAAACAGTAAATGCAAATGTTTACATAGAGTAACCAGAATAAGACTTGTTGGCTGAATGTTTCCAGGAGCATCAACTACTTTGTGCATGCTGGCATATACTGGAAATGCTACAGAGCTAATGGATGGGGCCCCCATTTAGTTTTTTGTATTTCAGTGGGAACATGTTTTAAATTAATAATGTGTGACTTGCAGAAAACAAAATCTCCCACTTGCACTGCTTGTTGGTAAGCCTCTCCCCTGCCCCACCCCCACCTGCTTTCAGAGTGCAAAGGGCTTGCTGCGAGATGATTGGCTGGGTGAGTCGTACCATGCCTAGGAAGGGAGCACCATTTCCCCGCTATGTCACCCACTCAGTGGGAATTCAGCAAGCACTTAAGGAATCTGAGATGCAGTAAAGCTTTTAGCTGTGCAGACAAGGCTGGCTCATTGGAGAGAGATAATGTAGCTAAGAAATATTGACAGCGTTAGTGAAGGATGGGCCTTGAGGCCATGAACAAAATGGAATGGGCTGTTTATAAAGGGCCCCCCTGGGTTTTAGCCAAGGATATGCTGCTTCAAAGCAAGTCAGAGATGGCACTGCTGTACTCTACACCATGTCTCCATTGCTGCTTTTTAATTTTGCTTTTTTGAAGTCTGGATGCATACAGCTTGGGCAAGTTAATGTGTTCTTTGACAGAGACTGCTTGATAGGTTTGGGGAGTTGAGCCTTACGCACAAAACTAAGAGAGAGTGGGTTGCCTTCAGGGCTGTGAAGCTATAAAAGAAATGGGAAAACAAGGACTGTCTGTGGGTTCCCATTATTTACCAATGCTTTGCAAAATTGCCTGGGCACAGTTTCATGGTAGCAGTAACCCTCAACCCAACTAGTTAATTGAGGTTGTTCAATTCACAGCCGTGCTTTTGTGATTCTAAGGCAGTTGCAGAAATCAAGAGTCCCACCAGAACACTTGTGAGCCGTGCCTCTCCCTTGCGAAAAGATCTTTACTGGAGACCCTCTCTTGGTTTAGAATTGTTTACAAAACTTAATCCTGATCCAGGATCCTTCTGCTGCAAATTGCATGAAAGCTCCATTGTTTTGTGGAACAAGCTTCTGCACAAACCTGCTCTTCTATTTCTGCAAGGATGCTCTGTTTTTTGGGGAGATCTCCAACTCCCCCTCTCCTGACCTTTAATCTATCAAGGACACACATGCTACCAGAACTACAAAAGTTAACTCAGACCTTTGAGTGGTCCAAGTGGCAATGTGAAGTCTTTTAAAAAGTGAGGTTCTTCATTCAAGAAAAAGCACTAAAGCAGGCATGTCCAACAGGTAGATCGTGATCTACTGGTAGATCACTGGACATCTGCTGTAGATCACTGGTGGATCATTGGCTCCCCACAAAGAAGCTGAACAACTGTGGCTTCCCTAAATAAAGCTCAACATTTTACCTCCTCCTTGGAAAAAACAACTTTGACCCAAACCCCAAAAAAGGGGGTAGATCACTGCCAGTTTTTAACTCTGTGAGTAGATCACAGTCTCCTGGGAGTTGGCCACCCCTGCACTAAAGCTTATCATAAGGTAAGGATCCTCAGTGATTGATGACATTGCCAGTAACAGGTCCTGGGTTCAATTCCTGGCATCTTCAGTTAAAATAATCAGATAGCAGGTAATGTGGAATAGCTTTCTCTGCCAGTGACCCTGGAGTGATGCAGCCAGTCAAGAGTAGACCATCCTCAGCAGATAAAGCAGCTTCATGCATGTATCATAGCACACTTTAGACATTGATGAGGCTCCAAAATACCCAACCAAGCTCCAGACCATAGGCCTACTTAGAGTGGACCCATTGAAATCAAAGGACCTCAATTAGTCATGTTCATTGATTTCAGTGGGTCTATTCTGGGTAGGATGTTTGCTCTTAGTTTTTCATGTAGACGTAGAGCAGAAGCGGCACACTGTTTGAGGGCTGGTAGTAGTCTGGCACATGTGTTTATAACATCGCAGTATTGGTTTCTGTCTAGACTGGGCTGCTGATGCCAGTAAGGCCACCTCTTGGGTGAATGTTGTTGTTTAGTCATTTAGTCGTGTCCGACTCTTTGTGATCCCATGGACCAGAGCATGCCAGGCACTCCTGTCTTCCACTGCCCCCCTCAGTTTGGTCAAACTCATGCTCGTAGCTTCGCGAACACTGTCCAACCATCTCGTCCTCTTCGTCCCCTTCTCCTTGTGTCCTCCATCTTTCCCAACATCAGGGTCTTTTCCAGGGTGAATAGGAGCTGTGATAAGACAGAGACAGGATTGTCTTTGGTGTCGTTTGCCCTCCGCATGGAAGAAATGAGAGTCTGTGCCTACGACCCAGGCTGCATAGCTTTTGTTTTTATAAAACAAGCATGTCAACTAAGCACCTCTTGTGAGTGAGTGGTAGGCTGGAGGGCAAATGTCCTCCTACCCGGTTTGATGGTGGGCCCCCATGCCAGTCATTGCTTAGACAAAAAGCATCCTGGTTTTTGCCCCCCCCCCCACTCCCTTGATTGTTACAAAGAGACTGGTCAATCTCCATAGCTGGTCAATTAAAAAAACCCCATAACCTATTAGCAATCATGACCTGTTGCTACTAGCTAATGTTTCTAGCATTTTTACTGAAATGTTTTACAGTCTTTATTTCCACAACCATTCTCTAGCCTAAGAGGTAAGCATGTACTGGCTGGGGCTGATAGGAGTTGTAGTTCAGAACATTTGGAAGGCACCAGGTTGGGAAAGGATAGCCTAGGCCTTTGCCTGAAGTCCCAGGTGGTATCCAGGACAGTGGAGCAGGCCTCTGAAACATGCTTCAGCTCCTCTGCTGCACACCTTTCCCCAGTCTGTGCTTGAAGCTTCATCTCAGCAGAGGCTGCTCCCAAGGTCTTGCTGCTTCTCTCCGGCAGCTGTGGGTTGCAGTAAACCCTGGCCATCAGCCTCAAGTGCCTTGTTCACTGACAGACCATGCAGTAGCCCTTTCCATTCATCCAGTCCCACTGACTCTAGGTCTCTCCGATTTGGTGTGTGTTCCGTTGTGCCCTGTTAGAGATCACTAGCATAGTGCTGTTCAGATGCTGGACTCCCACCAAACCCAGCCAGCATGGCTAGTGGTCAGGAATTACAGAAGTTGTAGTCCAACAATCCCTGGAAGGCCACAAACGCCCCATTCCTACTCTTGGACCAGAAGCAGCTGGAAGTATGAGTGTTTTATCAGCTGCGGCAGCACACCTGCTACAGGTAGATGTTGACACAAAATGGTTTCCTGGTGGTGGTGGGTTTCCTTGCCATTCTGAGCTGTTCAGTGCTGCTCAGCTGCAGCCTTTGCTGGCCCTGTGAATGTTTGTTTGCTGTTGGTTTCTAAGATCGTGGCTTATCAGTGGGCTTATCGGCGGGCTTCCCCGTCTATGAGGGATTATAGTCTCTCTCTCTAAATGTAGCTCAGGGAGGTGACTGGCAGCTCATACTCCTGGGTTTTCTCAGAACTCCACTTCAGTCTGCTAAAGGGATTAGTGCCCTGAAGTCTGTCTGGCACTAATCCTTTTAATATGCTAACTGCAAACAAATGAGCACCTGGTGGTGTCCTCTGCCCCCACCCCCATCATGAGCATGGCTACCCAGAATGCCCTGGGGTTTCCACAACTGGAAACATCCACATCCTAGTTGAAAGTGTCCATGCTGCAGAAAGGGAATGGCCATCTCTGCACATGGGCTCATTTTGGCGCAGCTGCATTGATCAAAAGCTCACTTGCTTTGCCCTGGACTTGGAAACGGCAAAGAAAAAGGCCCCTGATTTGGTCTCAAGGTGCTGTGTTTCCCCTCTTCTGCCCTGCACTCAGCAGGTTCACTGGATGTCAGGATGGCGGCATCAAACCTGGAGAACCAGCTGCACAGCGCCCAGAAGAACCTGCTCTTCCTCCAGCGGCAACACGCAGACACCCTCAAGGGGCTGCATGCTGAGATTCGGCGGCTACAGCAGCACTGCACAGGTAATGTGGCCCAAGCCACCTTTGCTTCCAAGCAGCTTCCCTTTGTTCTGCTTGGGGCATCTCTGCTCTTGTCCTCTGCTTCTCTCCAATGTCCGTCCCCTCTTCAATGCTGTCCCCACATTGCTTCATACTGGAAAGGCAAGCTTGGTACTTCTTCTGGATGCTTTGTGTATATTATCTTGGGAATCCTTACAACAGTTCTGGAAGATGGGCCAGTACCTTTTGATAGCAGCACCTGGGGTTTAGGACTTTCTCCCCAAAGAGCTCTGTGTGTCTACCTCACTGCTTGCCTTTGGTATGCATCTAAACCTGGCTTCCCAGGGAAGACTCTCAGCTGATTCAGAGTGACCTAAAGAGTTTTGGTAAGACAACTAGTCATATTAGAGTAGACACACCAAAGTCAATAGACTGAAGTACATTAACTCCAATGGGTCTGCCCTTGAGTAGGATGGTTTGTTCAATTTTTGTTTTGTTTTGTAACCCACCTTTTGTGGCGGGGCAGGAATGTTTGACATAAAGATCCTGCTGCAATTGATCACCCAGTTCTGTGAGCCGCAAGACTTTGAATGCTTTGTGAAAATGTTCTGTTTATGAGTTTTGCACATGGGCAAGTTTTCTCCAGCTTTCCTAACTCTGCATGTTTTTCAGATCTGACGTACGAGTTGACTCTCAAAAGCTCAGACTCAACAGGTGAGTGGTCTCAACCATCTTCTATTTAGAGGGTGTGGAAAGTGCTGGCAATGACAAGGAGAGAATCTTGAGCACTTTCTAGACACCTTGGAGTGTTGCATTGAAGTTGTTTTGCAAAGAAGTTCGATTGAACTCTCTAGGCCAGGAGTTTGTGGAACTTTCTTACACTGAAGCCCTCCTTCCATCAGGGAGAACCAACGTCAAGGCTGATCAAGACAAGGAGTGGATGGTGTTGCACTGTAGGTTGCATCCATGCTGACTTGTGACAACTAGCAATGTTGTCTCAGCTTCTGGTTGTGCTAATTCACTTCCCAGCATTTACTTGAATGTCAGTGTTGGCAGAAGTGCTCCCATAATCTCCCCAAAACAGGCTGGTTCAAATTGCATCTCCCTCTTCACAGATTTGATTTTCATAGAATCACAGAGTCATAGCGTTGGAAATGACCACAAGGGTCATCTAGTCCAACCAACTGCAATGCAGGAATATTTTGTCCAACATGGACTTGAACCCACAACCTTGAGATTAGGAATCTCCCAGGTAGCTTTTGGGGGGGGAAATGGACTGTATAAGCATAGGTTGCCAGCGTTTGAAACTCCCATTCTTCCAGGTAAAACAGGGAGTTTCATTAGCGCAAGTAGTTTCTGAGCTCTGGGAGCAGTACTGCGCCTAAGATTTCAAATTAAAACTGCAGTGGAAGGAGTGGAGAATCTTTTTCGGCATCCCCACTTCTAGCTACACTCTGAAGACTGGAGAAGAGACCCTCTTAAGAATATTAGGGGCGTGGGCTGTGCGATAAATTCCCATACCATTGAATACTGGTATTAAAATAACATTGTGATAAGTATTTCAACAAGGTGTGAACAAAAGGTTGAGACTTGACAGCTTCCCAGGGGGTAGCTCAGCTGGACGGATACTTTACAGATACTTTGCAGGCTTTGTTTGCTCTTTCCCTCCTTCACCAGTATGTTTCTTATTGCTGAGAAATAAGGATAGAAGCCCTCAGCTGCAGCCAGTTTTAACCCATTGCAAGCACACAAACCAAGTCTTTCAGCAGAACTTTCTGCTCTCACCCTCAAATCTCTCAAGAACTCAGCTAATTATGCAGAGCCAGCTAACAATTCAGGAGGGACCCCCCCATGGCTAGCAATCAGGCAAAGTAAACGTAAACAAAAAACTCAGAAAGCCTTCCTTCCTTTCTTTCTTTCTTTCTTTCTTTCTTTCTTTCTTTCTTTCTTTCTTTCTTTCCTCAGTGGAAAAAAGGAAGTGTTTTAAAACACCCCCCCTCAATAGCTTTCTTCCATATTTAAAAGGAAGGAAGGTTGGTTGGTTGGTTGGTTGGTTGGTTGGTTGGTTGGTTATTTATTTATTTATTTATTTATTTGAGAGGGGACTTCTGTGTCAGGGGAAATGGAGGGGAGAAGGTTTAACTGGTTACCTTCTGCTGAAATGGGAGGTTGGGTACTGTGAGAATGGTGTGGAGCTCTCTGAGATTCTGCTATTAAAGTTCAGTGATTCTCATGCCTTGAAGAATTTGGGAGCAGAGCAAACACTTCAGCCACTTTCTTCCAAGAAATGATTAGAATTTCCTTACTGTTCCAATGTTGTGGAGCTGCTTTTGCTCTGGCTTCTTACCTTAATCACCTTTATGGCAGGAAAGCATGTTTCTTAGTGAGTTTGCTTGACTGTACATGGTGTAAAACTCTTTGCCTGCCTGCTCTTTCAGAAAGTGGGACTTCAAGAAGTGAAGAACTCAAACGGAAGTGTGAAGAACTTGAGGCCCAGCTGAAAGTGAAAGAGGCTGAAAACAATGAGCTATTAAAGGAACTGGAGCAAAAGAATGCAATGATAATGGTGCTTGAGAACACCATCAAGGAGAGGGAAAAGAAGTATTTAGAAGAACTGAAAATGAAAAGCCATAAGCTGAACATGCTGTCGAGTGAACTGGAGCAGCGCGCCAGCACGATTGCGTACCTCACCTCACAGCTGCACGCAACCAAGAAGAAGCTCATGAGTTCAAGTGGGACTTCTGACAGCTCTCCATCCGGGAGCCCAGTGCTGTCCAGCTACAAACCAGCCCCTCCCAAAGATAAGCTCCCAGAGACTCCGCGGCGCAGAATGAAGAAAAGCTTGTCCACCCCCCTCAACCCGGAATTTGAAGAGGCCTACAGATTAGGATCGGATAGCCGCAAACTGCTGTTACGGGAGCCTGTTGATGCTATGCCTGATCCCACTCCCTTCTTACTGGCAAGGGAAACTGCCGAGATCCACCTTATCAAAGAGAGGCCTTTAGTCATTCCACCGATTCCTTCGGAACGCACCTCTGCTGAGCCACACAGCCCAGCCCGGGAGAAGCAGCACAAGGCTCACGTTGGTGTGGCACACCGAATCCACCACGTTGCTTCACCCCAGGCGCAGCCAGAGGTTGAGACACTAGCAGTGGATCAGGTGAATGGGAGCAAAGTGGTCCGAAAACATTCAGGGACAGATAGAACTGTTTAAGCATACTGTCTGGAGGTGACTCTCTTATGCACTGTGATCACAAATAGGGTTAATCGCATCTGCAGTCACTCCCCCCCCCCTTCAAATCCATATGCATGCCAAACTCTTTCCATCACTAGAATAACCTCCTCCAATGGATTCCCCAATATGACTATCTACTTAATGAAACGCTGTGGCCAAACTCAGGTGTCTGCCTGACTGCTTGCTTCCAACGCTCCTTCCTTTATTCTAAGCGCACTTGTGGGCAAATGCCCAGGCAAACCAGTCTGCATTATTAATCAATAGTAATGACAGAGTCTGATAGCCTCCTAATGATAGCCCTGCAGCACTGTGTATTGGCTGTTAATGGTTAAAGCCTTCCATGTATGTATCACTTCACACAGTCATGACAAATCCTTCTTTTGGGGGAGGGGCAGCGCTGACCACCAGTGTGAGAAGAAAAAGAACAGCTGAGTGACCCCTCCTACCTCCATCACATGGTCTTGATCACAGTGTTCGTATTTTCTGTTACGTTTTTATCTACAGCTACTAAAATCCCAACAAACTCTATTTTATTAACCCTGGCTGATCTTGTTTTGTGTCCTTTGTTCAATATTTGGAATAGTTTTCCACAATTACAACTGGCTGTTTCCTTTTGGGGCAGGGGAAAGAAAGGGGAAACCTACAAACACAGTGTAGGTTTTATGGTTTCTGCTTCGTAGCGAGAGTAAAGCTGTGCATCTTTTAAACTTTGGAGATGCAATGTACTCCTGCAGGCCAGGCTTTTCTTCCTGCCCGTGTGCCTGCCAGATGGAAACTTGTACAACTTGAGCAGTTTGCATAGCTGACATGTGGAGGAAGAGGTCCTTACCTTTTCTATGGAAGATTCCTCCAGTTTTGGTTGTGCACAATCAGAAATGCAGCTTGCTGCTTTACAGCCGTAACAAGAAAGACTCATTTTTCAATCTTATGATGACTGTATCTTTGCTGACAGAGGAAAGCCTATCATTTTAGAATTTCCACCCCCTATTTAAGTTTATAAAATAATCACAAGTTTATTTTGTGGGGGTGGGGTTATGAAATTTGTTTTACATTTTAATCTTAATGGTAAAAAGTCACCTCCTGGAAAGTTTAATCAAAGCACAGAGCAGAAGCACCAGTTTCTGGTGGTTGTGTTTTTTTAGGCTACTCAGCCAGAAGCCTAAAACTAACTTCTTAAACTATATGGCAAAGATGGAAAGTTACAGCTGGTATCAGCAAATAACATTTTCAAAATGTTCCACATTTAAAATGTGCCTTTAACTGAAAATCTAGCCCTTACGATACAAATGGTGAACCTGTGACCCTCCAGATGCTATGGACAACAGCTTCCCTTTGGCTTCAGCCAACATAGCCAGTGGTGGAGGATGATGGGAGTTATAGTCCAGCACCATCTAAAGAGCCACAAGTTCCCCATCCCTGCCTTATGCTAACCTTATGCTAAAAGTGCTTATTACTTCATCTTAGGACAGCATAGCACTACTGCTAAATGGAGCTAGTTTCAAAAACAGGGAAATTTTTGAAATGACCAATTCCTCCTCCTCTTCCAAAATCTATTTCTTAAACTCTGTTTCAGATTGATATTTTGCACACACCCCTAGAAAAATCTGAAAAGAAATACAGTGGTACCTCTGCTTACGTACTTAATTTGTTCCCGAGGTCTGTTCTTAACCTGAAACTGTTCTTAACCTGAAGCACCACTTTAGCTAATGGGGCCTCCCGCTGCTGCCGTGCCGCTGTGGCACGATTTCTGTTCCCATCCTGAAGTGAAGTTCTTAATCCGAGGTAATATTTCTGGGTTAGCGGAGTCTGTAACCTGACGCATATGTAACCCGAGGTACCATTGTATTTGCAATGGGAACTCCTGCATGTGCCACTGTCTACTCTCACCCAATAGATTTCCTACTGTGCCCATGCATCTAGAGGGCTTCATTTCCGGAGAAAGCTGCACATGCATCTTAGAGCTCTGCAACTGCAGCAGCCCCTTAGTCTATGTTCCTCACTACCAACCCTTTATCAAAGTGCCCTGTAATATCTGCCAGCCCCCTTTTCCTACGCTATATTTGTGTTGCTTTTCTGGAAGAATTTGACCCATATGTTTGCTTTTGATATTCCTTTTCATGTTGGGATTTTTCTTTTTAGTAAACATTAAAGCTCTTCCTGGAGAATGTTAAAGGAAGCATATACTTTTGACAAGATACCACTGGTTTGGATCCCTTACTTACCTATATCTCCCAGTTATTCATGTGCCCAATGCTGATGACAAGCATCCATTCTAAGATGCTGAGAAAAGTACACTGTGAAATTAAAAATTGGGCTTAACGTTTCTTACAATAATGCAAACCAATTAAATAGTCATTCTTGTGTGGTTTGACTGGGGGTCTTAAACAGCATTGAATCTGACGAAGGATGGCTGAAGAATAAACAATTAAATCAAAGTATTTACACCTGCTGGCTAACCACAAACACTAAAGAAAGGTTTATTTTCAAACAAGTTGCAATATATAAAATGTGAGGAATCCTACTCAAAAATTAGTTTTAAACAAATCTACAGTACATATCTTCAGCAGCTGGAAGCAAAGAGATTCCAGTGTTTTTCTGTATCTTCTCTCATCAACAGAATGTGTAGCCTTTGCATCTGGCCACTAATCAGCATTCAGTGTGAGGCAAACTCCTTGAAGTACCCAGTGAGAAATATGTCTGGTGGTATAAAGATCAGCTTCAAAGACCAAGCCAACGCCCATCGCGTTCCTCCGCATAGATGTTGTGTACACTGGAGTCCGGAAGGTGTTCTAGAGAGAAACAAAGTCAAAGTGTTACTATACACACATACACACATTGTATTTGCTCTGGTTGCTAAGGGCATATGATAAAGATTGCTGACCACTAGGCAAAACTGATTCTGTGCTCTGCAGAGCAGTACACTAAGCATATGAGAGGGCACTGAGTGACTGCTTTTATAATTACAAGGTAGGGGGAAATGAAAGGGCCTTTTCGGCGGTAGCGCTCTCCCTGTGGAATGCCCTCCCTTCAGATGTCAAGGAGATTAAGAACTATACAACTTCTAGAAGACATCTGAAGGCAGCCCTGTATCAGGAGGTTTTTAATGTTTGATGTTTTTATTTTTGCTGGAAGCTGCCCAGAGTGGCTGGGGAAACCTAGACAGATGGGCAGGGCATAAATAAATTATTATTATTATTATTATTATTTACAAGGGAACTTTGGGGGGGAATATAATAGAAGCTTGTCTTTAATTTTCCTAGTACGCTTAGTAATGTTGAAATGCAGACTGCAATGCAAGGGCGGCCATATTCCAGTTAATTGAATTTCCTAACAGGGTGGGGTTGAGAGAGGGAAAGCACTGCAAAATCTGCCCTTCGAATCCTGTCTAAAATGGTGTGGCAGCCAGCATTAGTATGGAAACAAAAGACGAAGTCTGTGTAGGAGGGAAGCTTCTCTGAACCAGCTCATCCCAAGTAGTTTGCAGTTTAAATAAAGCTTTAAGAGCTGCTCTTGGCAGCTTGTACCTGTAGCTTGAGGCGATGAGCCTCGATGGGGATAATCTTCAGAATAGGTAAGTCAACCACCAGCACTTTGGGCTTACTCTTGATGAGGCAGCTATTTTCAAGGTCCCAGTCAGCTCCTTCCAGGTACAGGCCAGAAACAAAGCATCCTGGTGAAGACCAGAAAGACATTGTTCAATGCTCCATGTTTTGAGACTTCAAATAGATGATCTAATAAAGCCCTAGGTGTTTAACCATTAAGGAACTTTTGTTACAAGACTTCTATGGAGAAGAGGTGTGTCAGTTTCTTCCTTTGAACAAAGAACCATGAAAGGCAGCAAGCAATCCTTAACCTGCACACTCAACTTATTAATATACCAACAGTCCATTTCCAAGTTCCAACCAAGGCAGCTCTGGGGAAAGCCCTACCCTGCCCAGGACGCTCTGTGACTTCATCTGCAGTCCTGTACTTGGTCACTTGAGTATACAAGGTGGAGCGGTCCAGAGGCCAGCCGTTCTTCCTGCAGGTTGCTTGAACGAGTGCAGTGAGGTACGACTCGGGGATATGCAGTCCCGACAACCACATGACGCTTGGTTCGCTCTCCTCAATCTGAAAGCAGAAATGTATGCTAACTGACTCTTTCCCAAGGTGAATTACCATGGCTACAATCCAGCGCAGCTCCTGAGTTCAGTGGCTTTAAGGGCATCTAGCCAGGGCTTGGATTGTGGCCTTAGTGTCCCACACAGACAGGAAATAATGCACAAGGAGATTACCAAAAGCTGCCTTGCACACCAGATCAGACTTGGTCTCCTGTGACTGGCAGCATCTGCCCAGGGTCTCGAGCAGAGAAGGATCTTTCCTATTGGCTGCTGCCTGGTCCATCAGGAAATTCCAGGGGCTGAAGCTGGGGTGGTCTGCAAGCAAAGCATCGGCTCTGCCACTGAGCTATAATCCCCCCCCCCCCATTAAAGGACATTTTGAACTTTCACTTACCCACGATGTGTACTGGAGAAACCTATTCTTAAAATAAATCATCCAGTTGCCGAGTGTCTTCAGGGTATCTGGCGCCAGCTTCCTCCATATGCTTGGGATTTGCCCGTTAAAGAGAGCACGGGCCACCTCATCCAATTCATTGCTCATTCCAACCTCCCCAGCCAAGGCCTGGTGAGAGAATTGCCAGAGAATCCTGGTTACATATCGCTATCCGAGGGGTGGGGACAATTTTTAAAAAAATCTAAACAGCTTTGCTTACTCTTTGCAGTTCCGCCAGTGACCTTGTCATGCGAATTATGAGCTTATTAAAGCGCTCCAGTTCCTGTAGCAGCACCACTGTCGTCGGTGAAATTTCCAGTCCGAAACCCTTTCTTATCTGATCAATGTCAAAGACCTGGGGCATTTTGTTTTCTATGTCCTTAGCAACCTGGCCAATATATTCATCTCGACTTATCCCTGTACCAGATTCACCTAAAATTTATTAAGTTGAGAGTTATTAGAATTATCTGCACTGGCCACCAGTCGGCATGAGGACTATGGCACTGTTATTGACTAACAGGCTTTTATTAATAAACAGTTTCTTAGTGCCCAATTTTATTCACCTGTAGATGCTCACAAATACAGCTAACTGATGAATCACCCTACAACTTCCTTTAATCATTTTAGTGTCCATGTAAACAGGTGGTCATCTCACAAATCTACATTTCCTAGAGCTCCAGGTTGTGGGCTGGGGAGCCATGACAGAAAAATAGGTCTAAACAGATCTAAAATCATCTGACATTTGTAGTGAACCTGACTCCTGTGTTTTGACTAATCCAAACAGTTTTCCACTGGATTAGAATCTCCTCTGTAAACACATTTTGGAAATTGCAGAAGAATGAGTGTGTCCTTGTGGATGAATGGAAATGTTATTGAACTATACAGTGGTACCTCGGGTTACATACGCTTCAGGTTACATACGCTTCAGGTTACAGACTCCGCTATCCAGAAATAGTACCTCGGGTTAAGAACTTTGCTTCAGGATGAGAACAGAAATCGCATGGCAGCGGGAGGCCCCATTACCTAAAGTGGTACCTCAGGTTAAGAACAGTTTCAGGTTAAGAACGGACCTCCAGAACGAATTAAGTACGTAACCAGAGGTACCACTGTACATAACAAGCATCTGCAAAATATGGGTAGATGATTTTGAGAATGGTTCTTTAGTAGCAGGCATCCCAAGTTAAATTCTGTCAGAAAACAAGGATAGCTATAGTTTAATGAATGGAGGATTATTCTTCCACCTAGCCCAGGATTGTGACTGGGAGCAGCTCTCTGTGGCCTCTCCCTTTCCCATCCATTGTTACTTGATCCTTTTAGCTGGATTGCACCTGGGACGATCTTCATACAAAGCAGGTGCTCATCACTGTCTCGGGTCCCTCCTCTCCATTTCCCTGATGTCCTCAATGGAGTTGAGGTCTAGTTCTAAATCTTTTGTTTCTTTCATCACAACACAGTTCTAACTGGGCAAGAGTCATACCTGTTTGAGGCTGCAGCTCCAAAAGATGTGACCACATGTCCCGAGCTGCCTGGGTATAGTATCCAATTTCAGCATTGGGGTGTAGGCCAAATACCTCTGGAGTGTTAGCAAGTGGAAGTGACTCTATTTCTTCTGTAAAATGGAGGTACAAAAGGGGGAATTGAAGGGGGTGGAATAATCAAAGATGTGGAAGTCAGGTTCACTTCTGCAAACTAAAGAACATTCATCCTCTAAAATTTGTGCATGATTTTGGCCTCCTGTGGTGCTTTTAACATATAGTATAACATTCTGATGTCACTGTTTTTTCATAGTTTAGGTAACTAGTAGCCAATAAAGGAAAAAATAGGAGCAGGGACAAAAGATGGAAGAGATAGGGGTGCTAAAGGAGAACCTTAACAGAAAAAGGAGACCTTACAATGCTTCTGAAGCAGTGTGAAATTCAGGGTCATTCACCTGTACTCAGCCAGCAAATTTACTTACTTACGTACTTATACTGCCCTATAACTGGAGGTCTCAGGGCGGTTCACAGAACAAAATCAGAATATGAAACCACAAAATATATAATCAAAATAAAAATAACCCAATACCCTCTCCCCAAAAAACCCCACATTTTAAAAGGGCATAGGATGTCAATCAAATCAACTGAAGGCCTGGTTAAAAAGGAACATTCAGACAGGGAACCACACTGCAGAGAAGGCCCGTTCTCGTGTTGCCACCCTCCAGACCTCTCAAGGAGGAGGCACACAAGAAGTGCCCCTCAGAATATGATCTAAGGGTCTGGGTAGGTTCATATGGAAAGAGGCAGTCCTTGAGGTATCATGGTCCTGAGCCATTTAAGGCTTTATAGGTCAAAGCCAGCACTTTGAATTGGGCCTGGTAGCCAGTGCAATTGGTAGCCAGTGCAGTCGGACCAGGATCGATGTAATATGCCCAAACTGTCTTGCTCCAGTGAGCAACCTGGCCACTGAATTCTGCACTAGCTGAAGTTTCCAAACTGTCTTCAGAGGCAGCCCTACATATAACACATTGCAGCAATCTAACCTTGAGGTTACCAGAGCATAGACAACTGTAGTTAGGCTATCCCTGTCCAGATAGGGGTGTAGTTGGGCCACCAGCCAAAGCCGATGGAAGGCACTCTGGGCCACTGAGGCCACCTGAGCCGAGCAATAGCAAAGGATCCAGGAGTACCCCCAAGCTGTGAACCTGCTTGCTTCAAAGGAAGTGTAACCCCATCAAGAGCAGGCGACCTCCCACCCATCTGGTCTAGGGAACCACCCACTAACAGTGCCTCAGTCTTATGTGGATTGAGTTTCAGTTTG